GTTGAATAGTAAAAAAATGTGTTGTATGCAATGTATTCACTACTTACAAAGCTGAACCCTCCGAATCTGCAAATGGGAGTTCAAGAAAGACAGCAGATAAACGTTTTCTCTTGAAATCGTCCAAGTTGTGTTGAGGGTCTATTTCTATGATGTTTGCGTTTCTGAATCCAATAACATCAAGCATGTAGTTCCTGACAAGTGAATCTGCAGTTGACCCAACTCTTGCTTCGGTTCTCTTCAGCATTTCGATGTCCATTACGTTTGGTTCTATCCGTTTGATGATAAGCATTGAAGAAATAGATTAGCAGTGTAGCTTGAGCTTAGGATCAATACAACAAAAAGCCACTCTATAACAACTACTCGTGCTAAGTTGTTATAGATTTTCTCTCCTGCAAGATGAAATATTCATGCATTTATCTTTTTGGATACTAATTTTAGACTGCATCGTTTCATAGTTAGGCTTGTACTAATATCTGAAAGAGAAATGCTTTACGAAAACTTCTTTTTCTCCTTCTAGACCTCTCATGCATTTACTCTTATTGTGTTTTGTAGCCCCATTTGTTGACCAATCTTCTCCCCTTACACCTAGTTGGATCTTGTATTATTTTCCCCTTAACACCATATATCCTCCTCACAAATTTCTAATTTTGAATTCTAAACTGCTCTAATTTACAAAAAAAGAAATTCTAGCTAGGGTGTAAATGGACGAGCACACTGACTTGATCAACTGATGTATTTACACGTCTGGGTCAAATTTCTAGTTAAACCATTCAATAAACAACTAGTTGATTAGTTGACCTTGATATTTATTTGGACATCTTTATAACTATGATTCCATTAGCTTCTGGAAGTATTTAGAATTTAACAACTTGCTTCTAGCCTTCTACGAAAGGTATTCACAAACCGTTATATAAAGGAGAAAACTTTCCGTTGACACATCAATTTAACTTGTCCACCATTCATGGGATTTTCTGGGACAATTTCCATGTTCAATTTAAGGTGAATATCATTTTGCTTCCTTCGGACAGTTGCAAAAATATGTGTTGTGCGACACAAATGGCCTAATTCGACTTCAACCATTGGAGCTCAAAAGACGCTTCCTTAACTTCTTCAAGTTCTGCTAACAACACTGATGAATCTTCGCTATAGAGCGCTGACGATTGATCTTCAAAGCTTTTGATCTTACTGGACTTCAAGTAATGCCGCCAACATTTGATGCTGGTGTCTCTGCAGCATTGGGGATTTTCTTCGCTACACATCAACTCCTCATATCTGAGCTGCGACTCGCAGAAGCCATTAATATACAACAAAAGAGCATGTTACAGATATATTAGTATGATATAACGAAATTGTCCCTAATTAAATTGACCATTCTTACCACAAATATGGCAAAATTTTTTGTTTACGATTTCCACCAGTTGGGTCACCATAAGAGATAGGACGCTGATCAACATCGAAACGAAATTGAGAGGTTGGTAGTGAGTTCCATAAATCTTACCAAGTCCTGGACACAAAGCTCATACGGATGGCATCTTCCGCAAGCCAAAGAAAATTTGCAGCATGATTGGTTCCGGTAACTGAGATATTCGGTCCATATCGCAGATTACAAGGATTCTACGTCTGTATCTTTGGAAACCCTAGCGGCTTAGGATGATATATAAGGACTCGTTTCTTTTCTGTGGACGCTGTTTAAGGTGTAGGATTCTAGCCTTCTAGGGCTTCCCTTCGGCCATGGCCTAATGGAGCTTGGGCTAGGCATTCATTTTCGTAATTGTGCTTCTCCTTAAGTCTGAAAAGAGTGCTTAAAGATGACAATATTTATGATAATATGTGACAGGTGATATATCAATAACCTAATCATGTAAATAAAAGTAAAACCCAAGTTCTAAATTTTATACAGAAGAAAAACCACTTTATAAATTAGACAAGCTTTCCTTCCCTTTGATTCTTTCGTTTGACATCAGCGGCTGGTTTGTCCTTGAAATGTAGGAAGGTCTTTCCCCCCATATAATTTTGCAAAGCTTTCGGTATCTCAACACCATGTTCCCTCTGGTAGTTCTCGAGAATGCAGCACATGGTTCTGGTAGTGGCTGTAAGAGTGGAGTTCAACAAGTGAACGTATTGCTTTGTCTGCGTCTGATCATTGCCCTTTCCCTGCTCCCCGTATTGAATTTCTAGTTTTCTCGACTGGAAGTCTGTACAGTTTGAACATGCGACCAGTTCTCTGTATGTCTGAGATGCCGGAAACCACCCTTCTAGATCGTACTTCTTTGCCGCCGCACCATTCAAAGCCCCCGAAACAACAGCCACAACACGATAGGTGTTAAACTGTCCCACATCGGTGGGGTGAAGAAAACTAAACAAGTTTAAATAGTATTACCCCACTCTAATTAATACCGAGGCCTTTTGTGATAAAACCCCACACCTGAGGATTGTGCAGGTGGTTAAGTGGGGACACTATCAGTGTTGTTAGAGTGGGACGGGCCCGGCGATCCAACAATTCCAACATGGTATCAGAGCCCACGGTTGCGGGCCCGTGCAAGCCAACGAGCTTGTGCTCAAGCCAATGAGCTTGTCACCACCCGGAAGGAAACAAGTCTAAACTCTTAATATAGAAACGACCGCTGAGTTCCAATTGAAAACAAGTGGGCCCAACGTGAGCCGACCTCTGAGTTTCAATTACTGATGTGGATCTTCACGTGTGAACCACTAAATGAGGTTACACGTGAGGGGGAGTGTTAAACTGTCCCACATCGGTGGGGTGAAGAAAACTAAAGAAGTTTAAATAGTATTACCCCACTCTAACTAATACCGAGGCCTTTTGTGATAAAACCCCACACCTGAGGATTGTGCAGATGGTTAAGTGGGGACAGTATCGGTGTTGTTAGAGTGGGACGGGCCCAGCGATCCAACAATTCCAACAATAGGGTAGGTCTAGCACTATAAAACTCCTCCGCATTTTTTAATATCTCCTCATGCATGTCCCAAGAGTCATTTCCATTTGGAGATGTAATGCAGAACTGTTCAACTTTGGCAAACTGATGGTTCCGAAATAGTCCCAATGTATCTTACCATGTGAACCGGCTTCTGTTCCTGAAGCAATTTGAAAATCCAGCGTATTTTATCGGTAGCTGGGATGGATGGATATACTGGCCTGCATGATATGCACAAAGTGGCTGTTCATGTAGCTATCAGATACTTGTCGTCTCCTTCCCCGGTTACCTTGTAAAGTTCCTCGTCAAATTCGTGTAACTGAGCACACTTTGCCATCATACCCTTTCTCATAAAAAGTGGAGGCTCCAATTCCTCATATCCCCTTTTCTCAAGAAAATCAAGAGCAAAGGTTATGAGAGGTAGATTGAGGCCCATGCCGACGCGTTTTAGGTAAAAACCCCTGCCTCCAGCCTCTTCAGCTCCTCTTTCAAAGTCCACAACCCCTAGGAGCTTTACAAGCTCAACGAGATTTTTCAACACTGGCTCCTGCATCCGTTTTTCGCCCCATGATCTAGATCACGGCATTGTTTGCCTCGTCATCACTGATGGGAACCGAAGGATGCACAATGTTTCCAATTTCTTCCATCTTTGCATTCAACAATTTTAAAGCCTCCCCAACTTCAGCTTCTTTCTCTGCCACCAGCCTCCTGTTTTCCTCAGTGTTCTTAATCAACTCAGTCGCATCTCCGCCCGCCTCCCGAAAAATCAATTCTGATATTCAGTTATACAAATAACAAAACCAAGATTTCGACATAGATCAACTTACAAGCTTAACGAAAAATTCAAGTTAACCGAACCTATTCTAAATAAGCATAAAATGTTGATCGGCTTAATCCTAGTATCGAAAATATTTCTTTTCCTAGTATCTAAAATTTAAAAAAAATAAGAACATAATCAAAGAAAAAATATTTCTTATCCTTCGTCAACACGGAGACAATACTATATATGAAATTTACATATACAAATATAGGACTAAAAAATATTTTAGAATGGTGTAAGGGCAACACTTCTCTTCATTACTGTAGTAGAGAGCCACTTACATAGAATTACGCTAAATCAAGAATTTGATTCTTTCCGGCCGACCCTCACTATAGCAAAAAAGTAAATCAATTTGAGTCCAAAGTGAAAGTTAAAATCCATGTTTGTACAACAAAATGAGAGAGGCTTTTTATGGAACAAATACGTCGTTACCATGACTTCTTCAGCTACTAATATAAAGCCATTTACAGAATGTTTTATACATAATCTTGTTTTAATTATTGGGGATTCCATAGTTACAATGAACCTATTCACCTAAGCTCTTCTAGAAACAATGGATTGAATCCTAGTCTAACTCAGACGATTTTTTTTATTTTTTATTTTTTTTATCAAATTATCTAAATTTTCTATAAAGAAATATATTGGAGTTTTCTTTTAAATACGAGCGCTATTTCTACTTCAAGTTTATCCTACGGCCTTAGTATGACTGAATGTGATACCTATACAAAAATTAGGTAGTCTGGAATTGATACTAATAATGCTATTGTGACAATAGTGTGAGTTCAATACTGTCAAGAGTCATACTTTAGAGCCTACTAATTTATGAGTATCACACTCATGAGTTTAATATATTAAACTCATAAATTGGTATTAGACCATGTACGGGGCTTGACGCTTGCCTAGTGCCATATGGTCAAGGAACTTGGTGACATATTGACAAGGGAGCCGGCAACTGAAGCCCTTGTGAAAGCGACCGTAACTATAATGATCATAAAGTAACGAAATTTCTTATCGGGTAAGTTCTGACCCGCACAACAAACGTAATGGTTATTTCAAAGAGAGACTCGATGAAATAAACATATATTTGAAGATGAGGTCTTATCACACTCAAATTTTTCTGCCTCGTGAAAATTACACTCCTATATGAGCTCAAGATATTGAGACCACGCTCACTTTTCCGGACCAACTGTGGAATATCTAAAAGATCGCTTACACCTACTGTAGACTTTATTACACGAATAAAAATTCAAAAAGAAAAAAAAGAAAAAAAAAACCTATAACAAAAAAGCAGAAACATGTACTGCCTGCCGCTGCCAGTGCCTCACTATTGCAAGCACACGCACCAATCCCACAACTTTCGCTCCCGATCCAACCCTAAACCAATCAAAGCCATGAGAGCCGTCGTCCAGCGCGTCGCCTCCGCCAGCGTCGAGGTCAGTCAGTCCACATTCACCCCTAATTTCGATCTGGTATACTGTATATTATTTATTATCCGACGCCTCAACTGCGTAAGATAGCAAATTGCAGGTGGAAGGGCGCATCGTGTCGGAGATTGGGCCGGGCCTCCTCGTCCTCGTCGGCCTCCACGACTCCGATTCCACCTCCGACGCCGACTACATGTCCGTACTCGCTACTAAACTAATTTTTCTCTCAATTTTTATTTATTTTATTTTATTGGAAAATTAATTGGTGAAAATTTTTCAGATGCCGGAAGGTCTTGAATATGAGGTTGTTCCCAAATGAAAGCACCGGCAGAGGATGGGACCAAAACGTAATTTCTCCCTTTTTAGCATTACCCTTAACTGAATTAACGGTTCCTATGCTGCTTTTTATTTATTTACTATATTTCTTATTTACGTTTTCAGGTAATGCAGAGAAACTATGAAGTCCTACTTGGTAATTCAGCTAAAAGTTTTATTTTATTTTATTTTAGAAACATATAAATTACAATTTTTCAATCGATTATTTTCGAGAGGCGAGCCTTGACGCAACAGAAAGGTTGCTCCTTTGTGACCGAAATGTCACGGGTTCGAGTCGTGAAAACAACGTCTTTACAAAACAAGGGTAAGACTACATAGAATAGACGTTCTCCCGACCATCGCAAAGCAGGGAGCCTTGTTGGCTTGGTAACGCCGGTTTTAGATTCGAAGTTAAAGTGAAAATTGAGCGATGCTGGACCAAACGGTCATATGTTATCCATATATGTGTACTTGTGAACTCTAATGCTGTAGTGAGAATGTGACAGTGAGTCAGTTTACATTGTACGGAATCTTGAAGGGCAACAAGCCGGATTTTCATGTGGCGATGCCGCCTCAGAAAGCGAAGCCCTTTTATGCTTCTGTGGTTGAGAGCTTCAGAAAATCCTACAAACCAGATGCAGTCAAAGGTGATGTCTTGTAACTCGAAAGTTGTGATGTAAGTTTGATGTATTGCATACATTGTCAAATAAACAGCTTGATCTGGCTAAACAGTAATGAAGAACTCTGTTTCCGCTGCATTCCGTTATCTTTGGTTCAGAATTTTCGAGTTTTGGCTCTTTTGCTTTGAATGTGTTCGATTTGTTGATCTCTTTTGTTTCTTTGATTGGATGTGCAGATGGTGTGTTTGGAGCAATGATGAAGGTTAATTTGGTGAATGATGGACCAGTCACAATGCAGATCGACTCACAGTCCCCCAAGTGAGCGTACTCCCCTGGTATTTCCGGTGTTTTCCATCACCGTGTTTGCATTCGACTGAACTTAATTTTGCTAACAATCATCTCAGGAACTCGAATGATGTGAGCGAAGAACAATCATGATTTCGTCGATTGGCTCAAGTGAAGATTTAGCAATGGACACAGGAATTTGAATATCTGGGATGTAACATTTGACTTTCTTGATTGAAATGTTAATTTTCAGGCAGAATATATGGATCGATACATCAAAAGGTGGCATTCCTATTAATGTTTATACATTCTTGGTTTTCTGTTTGATCTCTGTCGAATGATCTCACTACAATTCTACAGCCTGACACGGATTTATCCTAGAACAAAAGTAGGCGGAAATGAAGGTTTAGGACCGACCATAAAACACAAAGCGCGCGGCACATTCCTTAGTTCTTGTTAAGCTTTCACTGGATGCTGTTTGCAGCTGACCTGAAAAACGCGGAAACAAGCAAAGCTCAGATATCGGTTCTTCAGATAAAAAATTACAGTTGCCGTAGGTTAGGATCAGAATCTTTCCCGATAAACAGACGTGTTCAAGATTCAAGTTTAGCCAATACGCGTATAAATACTAGAGCTTTGAATCAGGTTACCTGTAACATACTATGACTCTGCTGATACCATCGTAGCTGCCGTAAATAGTGCTTCCTTTCCAATTGACGAGATCTCCATGCGCCTAAACCATGTTTTGGTAATAATACGAGGTTAAAAGTGAACAGTACCGGGAGTGTTTCGTTAAAACTCCCTATGTGCGAAGGAAATAAAGAAACAAACAAGTAAAAACCGATTCTGATTCGGAGCTTACTTGTCTGCTGCCTTCATATTTTTTAATGCTGACATTATATTATTTGAACAAGTGAGCCACTCCTTGTTTCTTCATCGGAAGTAGAGGCGTTTCCAACCAGACAGTTCTCACATGGCAGCTACAAATGAGCCTGAAATAGACTTAGAAAGTCTACGAAACTTACGGTTAAAGTGTAAGACATGCTACTATAATTGACTTAACATCGTTAGTCTCATAGCATAAGATAAAAAGCCAATTGGTGTGTTGATTTATCATAGGATTAAATACGGGTGCGTGCTCGTGCACACATACACATACATAGTATGTCTTCTTAGCCATCCAATCGGATATAAATGTATATCGACTCATCCCAGTTGTCCAACTGTCATCCAACTGGGAAACAAGTTTACATCTAAGGCCTTTTCAGACAATTTTGGGTCATTTCGCTTGCATAATGCCCTCTAAACGCCATCGACTGCATTAACACCATGTAATCAATGGCACATAATGATAGGCAATGTTCGGTAGTCCCACAAGAAAAGACAAGCTATATCTACGTGCTACATACCGTCCATAGACGAACACTTCTGTAACCAATGCACACAGACATATACACAGGCGCACACACAATAAGAATGTTGCGGAAGACATCACATCCTTTGAAGAATCAACCAAAACATCGCACTAGAATGAATAAAGAGAATAATCACCTGAAATCCATGTGCTAAAAGCAACTGTACTACTTCTGTCCTAATCTTCTTTATGGTACTTTTTGCGCTGGTGATATTTGAAAAGCACTTCAACGCTCCGTTGAAAGATGCATCATCATCTGGAGGACCATTTGACCTATGAGTGCGAATGGAAGGCTACGACATGTAGAATACGATTAAGTGAGGACATTAACAGACAACAGGTAATATAAAAAATAAAAGTAATGCCAGGACAATATAAACGCACTCTGGAAACTTACCTTACCAATAAATTTCCACAAGTACTGAACAACCATCTTAAGCTTCCATTTAGGTTCATCAAAAACCTGCAAATGCAACCTCATAAAATAAACTGGTAGAAGAATAAGACCTAGTGGCCAACTTATCAAAAATTGTTACAAATTAATACTTAAGGTTAGTAATTAATGAGATATAAGACACTTAAGAAACAAAAAGAAATTGCTAATGATGCACCAAGTGCATATGAACCCGATTACACTTGAAAACAGAACGGCGGCCACACTATAAGCACCAAGAACAATGTTTCTAAAGCATCAGATTTCAGTAAACAGTTATACAAATGAACTCCCCCTGTCAAAATTTAACAGATGAATGTAACTCCTTAGGTGTGAAGTCAACGGTACTGGCTGTCACCTATGGTAGGGATACAGAAACATAGAAAACCACAAATGGGAGAGGGTGAGGGATAGCAACTAAAACAATTTGAACCTGGAGAAATGGGTCAAGAATCTCTTTATTGTACGTTAGTTCCTCCAAAATCATCTCCAACAGAGGAGTTCTGCACCAAATGTGAAAAGTGTTTTTGCATAGAAAAAATATTAAAATAAAAGGTGATATATAAGCACACAGAGAGAGAGAGAGAGAGAGAGAGAGAGAGAGAGAGAGAGTAAGTGAGCTAGCAACTATCGTTCAATCAAGAAAACAAACTAGTACCTGATGCTATCATCTCTGGTAGTAGAACCTTGCGTATCTGCACTCTGCTTGGATACATCAAGCTCCATTATCTGAAAAGTCCAAAATGAGTGACAACTCTGAAATTCATTATACAAAACCTCCATCAAAACATTTCTAAGGGGCTTACAATTACTAGAAACTTCTGCATGGCTATGCAGGTATTCTTTCCTATCTTGCAGCAGCAGCATCAAAACTTTCAGCAGGTTGTGCCACAGAGTTCTCTGAACATATCAGATCATCGGTGAATCCAGCATGGGTTTAATACAGGTTACACATAATGGTCAAGCAATCTTTCATCAAGCTTTTGTGGTTTACCTTCCTTGATACCTTCAAAAGATACTTTTGAGGGTAAGAGTTGTGGTATAAGAATCAATTAATGTATCAGCAATGTGAAACGGGCTCTTCAGTATTCATGGCTTGAAAGAGAGGGAATACCAGAAGCATGTTGAGTAATGACTCTCTCAGAACTACCCAGTTCATGGTTTCTGCATACAATAAGGAGCAACTTAAAACTTCCAGAAAGCTAGAGGTACATAACATAACAGATAAGAAGATATCAATTTACCTTTATAGATACGGGTACGTGGTAGAAAATCCCATTCCAAAACATTAAATAGGTATAGAAACAATAGCATCTTTGCCAAGGACTGCAACAAAAGATCAAATAAGACCAAAAAAAGATGGGCAAATTCGCTTACCCAGGGAAGCAAGACTAAGCAGGTTAAGTAAGTCTATATCATTAAACTACCAAAAACATGTAACTCAATCAAAACCCAAAACCACAGATTGAATGAAAGCTCATGAATGATACGGTCATATTATGCTCTCTGATCATTTTATCAGACATATTCAAAGACTATGCGAATTCAAAATCTTCTCTTATACCTTTTCTATGATCTTACTGCAAGTAAACTAACCTTTGTTTCTGATGCTTGGAAGTTTGCTTCACCAGTTGCATCAACAAGTTCTTGTATCAAAAGTTGGAAACTCTGCAGTTGGCAAGAGAACACTTCAATCAAGGTGAAATTGCAAGAGATGAGCTTACCAAAACGAAGATAAGATTCCAACGGGAGCTCCAAAACAAAAAAATATAAAATCAGGTGGAAATATCATCAATCACTAGGATCTTAAACATAATAAAGTGAACTAGCTTTTCACACAACAATTATAATTATGAACCAAAAATCTAACTCACATATGAGTCAACTGGTCTCCCGGAGTAGTTAGCAGCTCCCTTTTCGTTACTAGCGATTTCAGAGCTGAAGGCAAATGGAAACCAAGCCTAACAAGCACACAGAAATGGCGTTTAATTGATACAATATGAGTCAGTACAACATATCAAACAGATGGGGAGAAGATAAAACCTTAGTACCTCTTCAACCACGATTAATTCAGGCACGCTACTGGATGATTTTGATTTATCTGCATCAGAAGACTATACTCGAGGGAAACGCTAAAAAAAATACAGGAAAAGTAAATTTGTAAGAAACTTTGCACCATCTGATTGTATAAAAATATAAATTGAAGACTAACGTTAGCATTGGGCACCTTATCTAAATGGAGAAGATTACAAAAAAATTCATCTTTTCGGAAAATTTATGCCTATAAATCTATAAACAAGGTAATTTCCTCCAAAGATCCAATATTTTCCCTTCTTTTTGAATTTAAACAGAGAGAGAGAGAGAGAGAGAGAGAGAGAGAGAGAGAGAGAGAGAGAGGTGGAGTTCCATCTTTCGGTACAATGGAAGCAGCACGAACGGCTTCGAGAAAAGTGATTCCTGTTCACCAATTTCCAAATAAACAAGTAACGATTGAAAAACGCCCAAAAATGTTGGAAGAAACAATACAGATAAAACGGTGCAATTCCCTTTATAATATAGAACAGAGTTGAAGCAACTGATAGAGGAACCAATTTTAGTTCCCCAACTTCATTTTCTTGACGAATTTTCTCAGCAGCCAAACAGGAAATTATCAACAAAAAGGGAACAGCAGAATTAAGACTTACTATCCTCGTAGGCGTCCTGATTGTCTTTAGCTTCGGAAGAACCGAGGATCGCTAATATGTTCTCTTCGATTCCTCCCACGTTTCTCGTACTGCCGGGCTTCCCCATCTTTCCTCTGCCAGAATTTCGAAACCCTAACCTGCATTGGGTTTATGTTCCCGCCAAAAAAATCCAGGCAGACGGAGACGGACTGACGCCGTTTGTGTTTGGAACGAAAGAGAAATTTAAAAAAAAAAAAATGAATTCCGTTGCCGGGACTTGAACCCGGGTCTTTCGGGTGAGAGCCGAATATCCTGACCAACTAGACTACAACGGAGGACTTGGTAGTTCTTTTAAAGAATTATTTTTAGAATTAAGACAAATTTTGGATCTTTGGTGCTCTGCTTGTATAGAAACTTTACTTCGTAAAGACTATGTTGTTCATGTGTTTCATATTTTTCTTTCTATTTTACCAACCAAAGTTTAAATTCTTTCTTTTATAGCTAATTTCCCTGAAGACTGATAACCCTTTTTTTTCATGTTCTAATTTAAGACTAGAAAATATAGCCACAAGAGCACTCGAGATCAAGAAATATAGTCATGCTCAAACCTACCTCAAGTGGCTTAAATCTTACAAGTCTACAAATTTGGGTTAATGGTTTGAGTGTTTTTGCAATTCAGCTATTTTTCAAATTTTCTGCGTAAAAGAGGAGCAATGGAGGGAGGAGGATAGAAGAAACATCGAGAAAGTAAACTTGAATGTGAAAATAACTTAAAACTTCTGTTTTTTTTTTTTAGTTTTTCTCCATATATATT